GGGCTAGTGGTTGTAAATGCGATTACAGAGCATGAGGTCCCGGGTTCGAATCCCGGGTCGGGTCAAAATCCGTTATTGGATTTTTCTGTCGAGAAATTCTCAGTAGCAGCCCGGATTCAGGAAGCTGGCGATGTCTCACCCCCTTGCCTGGAAAAGCATTGTGTCGGATTACCGTCCCATAGTACTATGAGAGTGAGGGAATAGAGAGTGCACCTGTGCTTGCGCATATACTTGGGCATATAATCCTGTCCTGCGCAGATGGCTAGTCTCCGTTGAGACTGGCCGCCGTGATCGAAATTCGTTTATACGTGGTAGAGCCATGCTGCAGCTATATTAGTAGTATAGTTGTAGCACGAATGGGTCGGCCGACCTGGGAAGGACCACGCTCTTACAGAATACCAGCGTAAAATAGCAGCTTAATGCTGCTGTGTTTCGTATGGTGAGTGTAGAGAACCGGAGACCCTTTTTACTGAAAAAGAGGCATTCCATATTAGTCCTCACGGGTGACAACGCATCTGCATTTTGATTCGCAAACGTGAATAGATGTAGATATCTTTGGGCAACAGCAACCACTTACCATCAGGTGGACTGTGTGCTCGTTTATCAAAAAATTCTGTCTGGAATGCATTATTACATGCAAAAAAAACCTTTTTTTTTGTATAAAAATAAGGGTGAGAACCGAGTACACAGTATACGTGATGGACACTATACTGTGTACTCTTTGACTAAGAATCAAAAGTTCATTGAACTAAGAGCTCCATAAAACAATGAAATGCCTCGTTACTGGTAAAAATAATCTTTGGTTCACATTACTCACCATAAAGAAACACAGCAGCACTTATAACGCTGTTATTCTGTAAGGGCGTGATTCTCTGTCGAGCTGACTCATTCGTACTGCAGCCACTACAGTGTATCCCTACAACGTAAAAAAGAAAGGAATATTTAATAATATCCTACCTATAATTGACCCATCTTTCGCGTTAATTACCGTAGTAGAATAGACTCAATAAGTACAACGCCTTTCGCATTGAGTGGTGTCGCATCGCGCTTTGTCGATTCCCATCGCTTGCCTGTGACAATGAGTCACAAAGGAACGATTACCCTAACTACATATTTGTACCTTTTCTGCAGGCACTAACTCAGGTAGCCATGAAACTTTTTAGCAAAAGAAACTAAAATATTTTTAATCAGTATAATTTAACTATTAAAAATAAATATATAGAAAATTCTATGAGGCACAAATATTTTTTATATATATGCGAACTCAATGCCATCGTGAATTCTATGATAGTTAACTTTTTAGTAGTCTGATAATATATGGTTATTTGCCCTTCTCATAAACTCTTCTGTCCAGCATAGTGAATATGAACAAACAACAAAAAATAGTTGGTTCTTTAAGCAAAAACTTTTAACAAAAGTAAAAGCCAAGGAAGAGACAAAGCCCCGACTAGATTGTGATCGTATGAACTTTTAGTCCTTTGAAATCGGCTTTTACTTTATTGTTAAAAGTTATTTTTTTAACATTTCGAGTAGGCTAAGGAATATTTATATACCTATATATATATATATATTCCTTATATATATATCAACATCAGTTCACGAACAGCGAAGATGTCGAGTAAAAAAAAAAAGGTAGAATTGTAAGTCTTCTCCTTTTTTGATGTAGGCTAAAAATAACTATTCAGCATTCGACTTTAAAGGGTTGAGAATAAGAACAACATTCTAGAGCATTCTAGAAAGAGCCTATGCCCAGTAGTGGACTTAAAAATGTAGGTTGGCTTACAACTGTGATCTATGACGAGAAGTAGCGTTGTGGTAGCGTTAGAGATATTTGCCGATTTGCCTGACAAACGTATCATTTACGAAAAATACTCCCAAACGCAGTTACAGTTTGTAACATAATATATTGAAGAAGAACTGGGGAGAAAGATTACATTTACGGATTAAAATAATCTCCTCGAAGTAAATTTATTCAGTAACACTTTTATCCTGACAGTAATTAATTAATGGCCGACTTTGCGTGACTGAAATTATTAATGTTTCATTACTCGCAATATAAATTGGCGTCTACGTTCTAGACTTATTGATTAATTTATGTAAATTTTAACAACTTAATGTTAGGTTTTTAGTTAATAATTATACTGAATCCTTTAGCATGTTCTTTTTGCTTAGCATCACCTTTACAACAAGAGCCAATGTCAGTCTCAGTTATTCTCGTCACAAAGACGTAATTTTATATGCCATTTACTTTATTGCTTCTGGGGATATGAAAATTATTAAATAATACTTTTATAGAAAATAGATGACTTTGTTAATAAACTTTGCTTGGTTTTGACTAGCTGCTAATATTTTGTACAAACGATTAAAACATCTTTACTTTTATTTTTATACAGTCACGGGTACAGTTACAATATAGCTACATCGTTAAACTCTTTAAGTAATTGGGTAATTTGACAGTTAAAAAAAATGATTTATTAATATATTAACTACACGATTACTTAAAATATTTATAATTTTAAAGTTCTCAATATCAATCAGAAACACTTTCGTCAATGTATTGTACGTGGTAGAGCCATGCTGCAGCTATATTTCTGGTATAGTTGTAACACGAATGGGTCGGCTCGACCGGGGAACGACCACACTCTCACAGAATACCAGCGTAAAATAGCAGCTTAATGCTGCTGTGTTTCGTATGGTGAGTGTAGAGAACCGGAGACCCTTTTTACTGGAAACGAGGCATTCCATCTTAGTCCTCACGGGTGACAAAGCATCTGCCTTTTTTATAAGCGAGGATAAATGTAGATGTGTATGGGCCACAGCAACCACTTACCATCAGGTGGACTGTGTGCTCGTTTATCACCCTTATCCTATTAAAAAAAAATGTATTTGTATGTTATGTTTGCACTGCGCAGATTTTCTTGCACCGATAAATTTAAAAGAAAACTTAAGATTTAAGCACAACTAGGAGTAGGTTTCCACTAGGTGATATTACTCTTTTTCTGTCGTTGAGTCCGTGTAGGTAGATATTTCCTATTTCTGCTAAAAAGCTGTGAGGCGTTCCACTGTGTGTTCGAAGTTAGTTGCAATTGTCTATGGACTGCAGTGGCTACTTAGCGTCAGGTGTATTGCAAGTTCGTTTCTAACTTCACTATTATAAAAAAGTTCAAAAAGAAGTGATGTATGACAGTTTTATAAATACAAAATATCTAAATAATGATTACAAGAAACAAGACAAAAATGTCAAATCATCCAGAATTTGAATTTGTTTGTAATGTTACAAATAAAAGCTATAACATCATATCTACTCAATTAAATCGAAGTACAAATTTAAACGATTAATGCGTGTGAACGAAGAAACCATTTTAAAAATAGCACAAAGTTAATAGATGCCCACAGACACTGCTATCTCACAGAGAATGACGCTTGGGACGACATTGGTACATAAATTATCCTAAGTCGGCTCGTCGGTCGGTGCGCCACGGCGTCGCGGCCTCGCGGCTGAGATGTTTATCTGGACAACAACGATCTCGCACTGATAACACTAATCAGGACACGGCTGGCTAATTAAAGACTTACCAGTAACGCAAATCCCGCTACAATCCTGCAACAGTGGAGAAACGTGCATAGAATTCTCAATGCAATGATAGTCTTAACGCGAAATGATATTTCTGCTAACTCGTGCATGTGCAACGTGTTAGAATTTTATCAACCCATTCTTTATATCCGCTCTTACTTGTATTCAAGTTGAGTGATCTTTTGTGCGTATTGCGATTGGATGCGGAGAACATAAGTATAATTTTAAGCTGGATCAAGAGGACAAGATTATTGTACGACTGAGATCACATACCTGACCAATAATGTCCTCTTTTTTAATAATAGAAAATATGGCATTAAGATAATTTTAGCTTTTTTAAAATATTGTATAAATTACTTATGTGTTTTGAAATAAATTGTAGAAGTAACGAAACAAAAAACTATTTTTAGTCATTGATGCAACTTCATTATAGCAAAAAAAACATTCTTAAGCAGTTTATGGATAATAACAATGATATAACTTTATTATGATAATTACCTGTTCCCTATGACTTCGCCCGCGTGGGATTTGTTACAATTGGATTTTATGGGTTGTAATTTTATTTTTTTGCGCGGAACTCTAATTCTATAACTAAAATAAAAGTAGCCTGTAAATGTTACTCCTTATAAAGCCGGAACAAACAGACAGACAAATTTTTTAAAAATTGTGTTTTTTTGGTATTAGTACCGTATATACTTTCGTATGCATATATTAAAAAGCTGTTATTTTGACATTACAAACAGATATATAGATATATTTCCCCATCCCCTCCGCTTACAAAAATTCGACATACCGTACCGCTAGTTTTGGTGGTACTTAGTAGAAGGAAGAAGTTTTGGGATTTGGTCTGGTCCGAGATAAGTTCCAAAGTGTTATAATAATATCTTTCGTAAAATTATATGAGTCTTTATTTCATAATACTTGTTAGGTCTCAATTTGCTTGTCAGTTTTATTTTAATCACATATTATTCAATAAATTATAAAAATTGTTATAAATGTATTATCATATGACTCACGCTTACTTGTCAAGGTTAAGAGAAAGTTACTTTACGAATGACAGTCAAGTTTACGTCAGTTGTTCCCAAGTTGAGCTCAGTCAATAAATATTTTAAAGCGGTTCGAGTAAGACAGCCGTAGAGAGAGACTTTACACGAAGCAACGCCTTTTAAACAAAATCATTTTAAATAATGACGACATTACTGAACGCGATTTGATTTAGATGCAGTGGTGTACGGAGACAAACAAAATATATTATGCATCCTAAATATTTTGTTGTTTAGAACAAGTATAGGTCCTCGTTTGAATTAGAATTCAGGATCCGTGACTTAGTTGTAAATGAATATGCAAGCGACGCGGTCGCCAAATATTAAACAATATCAAGCTGTGTTAACATGTTATTATAAATTATTTTATTTTATTGTTACAGAAACAATATAAGAACGCGGCGTCGGCGAGGCGCCCCCCTCCGCACGCTTACTGATGACACAATAAATTGTGATGCTGACACGAACAGGATCCTATAGGAAACTGCGTCCTAGAGGACGACGAAGGACGTTGTAACGCAAAAACTACTAGTTATATAAGTGCAAGTGCCTAAATCGTTAACAATGTTGGGGAACCGTCGTAACTTTATCTTTAGAGTGAGTATTGTCATTAATATAGCCGTGTTGTTCTACGCGGCTATGCACTTATCTGGCAATGGAGCCCCTGGAGTCGAATGGGTTACGGTTGACGGATCTGAAAGAAGCGCCGAATTCCGGTACATCAACAGAGAAGATGTTCGAAACGAGACTGAAACGAGGCCGGTCGATTCGAGTGTTAAAAACATCGAAGAATCCACGTCGCAGAAGACCCCCTCTACCATGCCTACAACAAATAAGACAGCATCTAGCACTGCATCCATTGCCGAATTGGAGAAGAAAATTCTTAGTGTAGTGCCATCGGAACCAGATACAACGAATGAAACAATACTCGATATAGTTGATGAAAATGGCTTAACGGATGCAACACTGGCGCGCCTTCGGACGCTTCTCGGGTGCAACGAAAAAGATTTCCTTCCTCAGACCATACAAAAAGGGGACTTCTGGGTATTAAAGAATTTTGTGCGTGCTGACCATGGCATTATTCTATGTCACGAAACAATCACCTATACTACACACGCTGGCTTTGAGTTCCTGGATAACGTTCAACCTCTAGTTGAAAGGTAAGTTCAATCTTTTACCTAAAATATTGAAACTGGGTTTTATTTAGCCATTCCTAATTGTTCAATGTAAACAAAAATTATATACATAAAAGTTTAAATAATTAGAATAGGGGAAAAAAAACTTCACTATTAAATATATTTTGAGTTCAGTTATGAATCTTCAAATAAAATAAATCAGTAACCGGCAAATGTTCTTGACGAAATACATAAAGTTTTTGCGAGGTACCGGCGCAATCACTTAGTATAATTAGTTTACTTTACGAGTCTCTCGAATGGAATAGGACAAGGTTTGTAAGATGTGATTATTATATTATATTACCATTGCAAAATGTATTTACATGTTAATAGTAGTCTATAATCAGAATGTCGTCACAACTTAGGAGAATTACGTGGTAGAGCCATGCTGCAGCTATATTAGTAGTATAGTTGTAGCACGAATGGGTCGACTCGACCGGGGAAGAACCACGCTCTCACAGAATACCAGCGTAAAATGGTAGCTTGACACTGCTGTGTTTCGTATGGTGAGTGTAGAGAACCGGAGACCCAGTTTACTGGAAAAGAGGCATTCCATCTTAGTCGTCACGGGTGACAACGCATCTGCATTTTGATTTTTTATTGAGGATCAGTGTAGATGTCTATGGGTCATAGCAACCACTTACCATCAGGTAGGCTGTGTGATCGTTTGTCACTCTTTACTATAAAAAAAAAGAATTGTGTTGAGAAATTGTTACATTTGAATATTTGCCGAAGAATTTTAGCCTCATTTAGTTATCTTTATATTAAAGCAGTCTAATTCGAAAAAGTAATAATAAAAACGGTAGCACAATTTTTTATAGATTACATGTAATTTTTAGTTGAAAGTAATTTTTTTACTTTACCACTGGTTTGGAAAAAAAAACACTGTCCCGGGAAGAACCAGCCAGAAACCCAGCCGGACTTTTTTTTAAAGAAAATTATGCGAAAGGTTGTACAAACTATTTACAAAATTTATTTTAGAAACATTTTGGAAGCTACCTCCCCATTCCCAGGGGTTTTTATCAACCTATGCTCTCTTTCATCATTAGCCCGTAAAATGCATATGGACGTGATAGTGTTGTTGTGAAGATTTGCGTTAATCGTTGCGCTTGGTTTCAAATTTACGATCACAATACAGAGGGCGCGCACCCGTCTGGGTATTTTATATCTGGTATAACCGAGAGAGTTAATGGTTATGCCGCTCACTACCGGAATCGTTAAGATTTTAACGGAGTTCAAAAAAAAAAGAGGAGGTTCTCAATTGGACTGTTTTTTGAATTGAACCGATATTGATGAATCTTTTTTTATTCGAAAGCTGGTGCTTCTCATGTGCATAATGCGTATTTAATTGATTTCGACTACATTGATGATGTTCTCATTTTATTTATAAAGTCGGTTGTACAATTTTTTTTTACTTTTACCACTTGTTAAATAATTCACTAACCCATATTATTCCGTGGTTGTCGTAAAACACGATAGATTGAAACTGAGAAGTAAGTAAGTAAGTACTCTTCTTAATAACAACTCGATTATAAGAAAACTAAAAAAACTGCAGTTGCCAACCTGCTTGCCAAGCGTGTTTGATAATGCAATCAATGAAAGAAGCAAGTTTCGCCTGTGGGAGAGGAGAGGCCTATGCTCAGCAGTAGACTTTAGATTGGCTGTAACTATGATAATAAAATATTTATATGTAATATGTAGTGCTCAGCAGAGGGGAGCAGTATTTCATGCCGGCACACCCCCTGCAACTTTACAAGGCGCAGGTTCGGCCTCGGGTATCCGGTTCTCTACACTCACCATACGGAGCAGAAGCATCAGCATTAAGTTGTTATTTTACGCTTTTATTCTGTGAGATCGTGATCTTCCTCGGCCAAGTCAACCTAGAGGCAACTTATTCGCCCTATAATCATAATGTAGCTGCAACGTGGCTCTATCGCGTATAATTTAAATGTAAGCTACATTACATTATATTAGATGATAATTTTTTTTCATATGTGGTAGCGCCATGCAGCAGTTACATTATGGTTGTAGAACAGATGGGTCGGCTTGAGCGGGGAAGGACCACGCTCTCACAGAATACCAGCGTAAAATATTAACTTAACGCTGCTGTGTTTCGTGTGGTGAGGGTGGAGAACCGGAGACCCTTTATTACTAGAAAAAAGGCGTTCCATCTCAGAGGTGACAACGAATCTGCGTTTTGATTCTTAATCGGGGATAAATGTAGGTGTTTTTTGGGCCACAGCATCCACTTACCACCAGGTGGACTATGTGCACGTTCGTCACGCTTACTCTATAAAGTAATCAATAAAAAATAAATGCAATTGCTCAACTTAATAAAAGGCACTTACCTACTCTGAATTCTCTACCACAGATTATATTTGATTTGATTATATTAATGACAGATTATATAACAACATGAACAGTTAAAATTTTCACTCCAGTACTGTCCAGTTTCAGAGTTCTCTCCCATTGTATGAAGGATTCCCCTTAATCGTCACAAATGACAGGCCGATTGCCTTTGCCCGTCACATGTCGAGGTATTTCACGTCTGACGTAAACGAGATACCACACCATTTCTTATAGCCAAAACATTTTTCTGACATTAGCAATAGTCACCTTTTACGACACCCAAGGGACGAAATTGGGTAATGGATTTTCATAATATACCATCACACGGTAACATGCCGCATGTGGCAACAATGACCTTTGATTACATAATGCGAATCATTAGAATGAAAATAATGATAGAGTACGAAAGTTCATGGTATCTACGACATGTTGTAATTGTTTACGACTGAATATAAAGTAATAGAGCAACGTTGCAAAACCTACCGTTACAGACTATTGAAGCCCAATACTGAATATAGGCGTCCCCAATAGATTGCGTCATAAGGTGATTTGCACGGGGATTGGCTACCGCAGTTTTATTTTATTATTAGTCGTTATTAAGAAGATGCTTCTGCCCATCTAATTTGTTTCCTTTCGCCTCTTACGACACCCACGGGATGATGACGGGTTGGGAATATTCTTACACCGCCAAAATACGGTAAGCTTATGAAAATTAAATTGTACAATGAAAGCATATCACAATGATTGATTTGATTATTCGAACGTAATTTTCTTAGTAGATGGGTATAGAGTTAATTGGTAAATTTACTGAACTAATGTGAACACCGAAATAATAACCTTAACAGCGACAATTATCGAAAATGTTTATAGTTTACACGATGATGATAAAGAAGGAGTTAGGGAAAGTTACCAAACTTTTTCTCTAAAGGCCAATCTCACTTTAACCTAGTCCATTAAAATGCTGACTGAGGGAAGAGACTCTGCCGACCGATTAATTATTATCAAATTTTTCGCGGTCCGTGCTCTCTACAATCAGGCTATTGTCGATTTAGCTATATTGTTGTTATGTGGTGACGCTTTCATAAGATCCATCACTTCATGTGGTCCCATAGGTGTCGCAAGGGAAATCCCTAAGAACTCCAATGACTTATAATATAACCATCTCTTTACATCAGGGAATAGCGTAGAAGAGTCAAGTAGTGAAATGACTAAAGTACTCACTCGTATCAGCCCGATGTAGGTTTTGCAAAATGTAGGCAAAGATTTAATTTCAGAGATTCGAAAACAATAACATACATCCAAAACCTTTTGTGTCTTTGTACATGGCTTACGCATGGCGAATCGGGTGCGCAGGTGGTGATGGATCCCCAATGGGAAGGCTCACCTTGTTACAGCGCGGGAGAAATAGAAGAAAAAGTTGTTCCCTTCATAGCGGGAGCTGCTAATGCCCGGTGTCGCTGGCTATTCGTAGGCATTGTCTCACAAAAATAAAATGGATTGTATCCCTAAACAAACTAATCAGGTGCTTTAATAACTAGACGGAAGTAATAAATTTACGCAATATTTATCGATAGAAATATATAATGTGATAATTATAATAAGCTCATTAGTCTCGTGAGGTAAGAGAGTAGTTAATTAATTAAATTAATAGATTAAAAGTACACCCGTCATAATAATCTCTAATATATATGTAAAAATAAATATAAAAATCAATTGCTGTCCGTTAGTCTCGATAAAACTTGAAACTGGCTCGACAGGTTCTGATGAATATTTTTGTGTGTATTTTAGTGGGTCCCTGGATGCTTGTGATCTATAAAACACCCGTGAAAAGCCGGGGTGGATCGCTAGTATTAAATAAATTCAAAATTAGCCTGTATTAATCAATCAATCAATCAATATATTTTTATACACAAATACATGATGTATTAATGTACATAATCATCATTACATCATGATTATGTACATTGATGAGCATAAGCCTCCCACATAGATGGCCTCATAGGGAGAATTTTTGTCGTTGTTGCCACGACTTTATATACTACAATCTTCTGTTAACCTTCGTCCTCGGAAACAAAAAATCCAGACAAATGTATGTAAAACTGCCCTTATGAAAAAAAGTGTTGTTGAAGTGGCCCCTAAATTATATAAAAAATTACCTGATCACGTAGTGTTATAATGCGCAAAAATTTAAATATACTCCAAGTAATTTTCTTATAGATAAATGTTATAATAATGTCAATGAATTCCTATTTACTAATGATTTCAAGAATTTGTAATTTAATCTTCTTTTTTTTTACTTATTATAAGCCAGTGCTTGACCACAATCCCACCTGGTGGTAAGTGGTGATGTAGCCTTAGATGATAAATCGCACTGTCTTATCGTATGAAAAACCTATTCACTCTTGCCTTGAAGACGCCCAGATTGTATTCAGACGGAGAGATGACGCCGACAAATTATTCCACTCCTTTGCTGTACGCATTACAAAAGACGAAGCAAACCGTTTGGTTCTGATGCGTGGAATATCGACAACAAAGAGATGAAGACCCGCCGACCGCCTGGTTGTTCGGTGGTGGAAAGGAGAGGGAGGAATTAAAGCGTGTAATTCCTGCGCACACTCACCGAAATGCATCCTATA